TCACTCCATTTAAACTCCTTTTATGAACGTATATGCATATATCTGAGAAGACTTCTAGAGCAATTGGTTTCAATATGCCACTTTCAAATGAATATTAGTTATCCTTCACTATATTACCTCTTCTAACCTGCCCTTTCTGCTCCTTTAGTCTCCCTTTCCCTTTATTTATGTTATTATAGTCCATAACATTTAACAAACTGTCTAATGTAAGTCACCAAATTGATTTCCAACATGGGTTCTGAGATACAGTTTGAGAAAACAAAACAACACTGCTTTATCCTCCAGCTCTAGTTCCTGTGGAAATAGTGCCTTTCTTGGAGTTCACATTATAGTGGATGACTTCTCACCAACAATATTGCTCCTACCACCTGTAGAGTACCTACTTGAATTTCAAGACTCACTTCAGTACTCACTGTTGCTGCCTGGCCTCTCCAAAGGAAGGAAGCAACTTCATTTTCTAAGCCTGTCCCATCCAACCAGAGGGCACCTTACAACAACGTATTTTATAAGTGTCCTTACCATAAAATTCAGTAAGTGCTTGCTCACCTAGTTCTTCTTCAGTACCAAGTGAGGGTATAAATACACTGAGCATCAGAAGGCTCTTGATCCCTTTGAGTCTAGCAGAACTCAGTGACTCTTGGGATCATTGTGTAGCTTCACTATCGGTTTTGTATTTTAACCACTCATGAAAGGAGAAGACTTGGTTGGAATTCCAGTTGAAGGCTTTAATGTTCATTATGGGAGAGGAAATAAATAATATTATTCATTCACCAGTGGATTTAGTATTCTTCCTCGGATGAGTAGTGGTTGAAGGGAGGATGAGTCAAAGTCAGGCAGTGTTATCCTAGGGTCTTGGGTTAGTTGTTACAGTTGGTGTATGTTTCCCAAGTCTGTACCACTCTGACATTCAACATGTTTTCTTGGTTTTGGTTCAACTAGTACCTGTTGTAGGAGGCCACTTGTTCATTCCTGGCTGCCTAGACTAGAAATAACCACACAGAAACTGTATTAATTAAATCACTGCTTGGCCTATTAACTCTAGCTTCTTACTGGCTAGCTCTTACATCTTAATTTAACCCACTTCTATTAATCTGTATATCAGCACGTGGCTGTGGCTTACCGGCAAGTTTCCAGCTCTTTTGTTCCCAGTGGTGCATACATGGCATCTCCTGACTCCACCTTTTTTTTCCCCAGCATTCAGTTTAGTTTTCCTACCTAGCTCTACTCTGCCCTTTCACAAACCAATGTAGATTCTTTATTCATTAACTAACAAAAGCAACACATAGAAGGACTTCCCACACCAATTACCCTTTGAAATTAAAGTGGATATCTGGCTTCTTGGGCTTAACTTTCCTTGATTCATAATTTGAAGTCCCTACTTTGGTTCTTTACACTCTTGTATTATATCAGATCCATCCTTTGAAGCAACTGGCACTGTCTTCATGAGTAAACTTGCAAAAGATCATCACAGTGATGGCTGTGAACTGTTTCCATTCCCTCATAGAAAGAAGTTCAAGAAGGGTTATAGGATGCTCACCTGAGTATGCATCCACTCCTCTCAACAAGTTGTGGGAAATTTGAGCATAATTCCACATGAGCTTGAAATAAATATTCATAGAAGAACTAAAGTGGGGTCTCTCTCTATGCAGCTGTGGAAAAGTCATCTTCCATTCTAGGTACAGATCTTCCAGGACAGCTACATAAAAGCATCTCCTATTAGTAACCACTCCATCCATGGACAGTAAGTAACCCTAATACATTTATTACTCCCCTAGGGAGAACGTTGGCAGAAATGAACTTTCATTTGTTATGTGGTCTTTATGAGGAGGGGATCAACATTGTCTAGTCCCTGTTTGGGGTAGGGATACTCTCATGACATAATGTGGCATTTGATGAGACTAGTTTGTATCAAGTTGAAACACCAAACCTGCCAGTACAAGTACTCCCCTTCCCTTGCCACATATACATGGTTAAAAATAAAATGGATAGCTAATAAAAGTTTTCCTCTTCTAGATTAATCTTAAAGTTAAAAACATTTTGATCTGGTAATAAGGAAACATGTACTCCAAGGTACAATAAAACAAGCCACTTTTAAAAGAATTTTTAAAATGTGTGTAAGGTGTTGATTTAAATAATCTTTTGTGATTCTTGTTTTCAAGAAACATGTTTTTCAAATATGGAGGCTTTTGTGCCATACCACCTTTAAGCTTCAAAACATAGTTAAAAAGAGAGCCAACCCTGTTAGCGTAGGTGTGGGTGAGCCAGCCCCAAAATTGTGAGCATAGAAAAGCTGTCCCATTACCCATCTGCCTCGTTGGCCTCCTCCCCCATGCCCATCAACTTCTGGCGCAGGTGGGAGAGTTGATCCTGTAGTTGCAAGAGTAGGAGAGCTATCCTTGACCCCCATGAGCTGCAACACTTGGGAGAGCAAGCCCTGTACCTTTCCAGGGCAGCACAATAGAGCCAACCCTTTTAGTAGGTGAGCCAGTCCTGAAGTTGTAAGCATGGAAGAGTTGTACCTATTTCATGAAGGCGTAAGTCACAGACAATCCCACACCAGTTTGAAATTATGATTAATAGAATGGTTATTTATTCAAAGGGGAAAAAACTTACAGATTACCGTCCCAGACAACAGCCCCTCCACGCGAACAGGAAAGGAGACCAGGAGCCAGAAGCGGAGCCGGAAGCCAAAGAGGGAGTGGAGGACAGCCGCTGCTTTTTTTTAAAGAGAGAGAGACCACGCCCCAATGGGCTGGTAACTCAGCGGCGATTGGCTGAGGAGCGGAAGGAGCTCCCACAGCAATTTCACATTTGACATATCAACCCAACCACTGCCTAGGCCCAGAGACTAGGATGTGCCTTGGCCTGTCCCATGATCCACTCTGTCTATGGTCTGCTGGAGCCCATGAAGGGATATGACATGTAGACCCAAAACTGCAGGATCACCACAACACAGGGCAGTAACAGGATATCCAGGATATCCAGGAGGAGCCCTAGTGAGGGCCCAGCATCAATAGGGTACTGGAATCCAGAGACCTCGAACCATGCCAATAATTCTTTGCAATGAGCACTCACAAAAAAAAAAAATAGAAAAAAGGGTTCACAGTATGACTCACTGTGTTATAATATAGCTTCCATGTAAGACTTTTAAATTTTTCCCTTTTTAATTTTTTTTATTTTCCTCTTAAATTTTGTTTTATTTGGGGAGTGTGCAGGGGTGGAGGGTGGATTCAAAGGCATGCAGAAATGAATGGGATCAAGATACATGATTTTAAAAAGACAAAATAACTAAATGAGTAAATATTATAAAATAAAAGAAAAATGTTAAATTTTTACCATTTCTTTCTGGCTATTGTTCAAATGTCACCTACAAAGTGAGATCTTTACTGTCTTATTTTTCCTTCCTCTCCTCAAAATGCATCATATTGCCTCATCCCTACTTTAATATTTCCCCTATGCTACCTACAATTAGTGCAAATACATTACATACTCAATAAATTGATTTAGTCATTATCTTACTATTCTATAAAACAAAGTTTTTGTGTATTTTGCTCATGTTCAATACTGCATACCTAATACCTAGACTGTATCTATCCCATAAAATCGATTCAATAAATCCTTGGATGGATTAAATAATAAATGGGTGGTCAGAGGAATGAATGAACCATTCACAGTATGAGCTTCACAGTCAAATAAACCTAGCCTCTAATCTCAGCTTTGCCACTTACCGACACTGTGACCTTGAGAAAGCTCCCCTGAGCCTCAATTTGTTGTATGACTCACAGGACTGATGTAAGAATTTTAATGAGATAATCTGTGTAAAGTGTTCAGCACAGTTCTTGGCATATAGGAAGCATAAGTGACATTTAAAATAATAATTACAAAGCTCTTTATAAAAGTGCATACTTGAAAATATAAAAGATGGATTCCTCAGCTATATCCTGACTGGGGTGACTGAACATGTCCAGCAAATTATATACTTACTTTACAACTGAATAAAATCTCTCTAAATCTCTAAAATCTCAATCTCTCTCTCTCTCTCTCTCCCTCTCTCTCTCTCTCTCTCTCTCTCTCCACCCGCCCCATATATATGTATGTGTGTGTATATGTATGTACATACATAAATACATATCCCAGTTTCATTATTCATCTATTGATAAACATCTAATCTAATCTGATTCCATTTAACTTTTGTGACTATAGCCACAGTGAACATGGATGTGCAAGTTCTGCGGAAAGGCCCAAAAGTGAATGGGTCACCCTGGGTACCCTACCAGCATAAGCAAAAAGGAGAACTCACCGAGAGGAAATCAATCCAGTTTGGCAGAGAGGGTGCACAGTTAGGGTGTTTCCCAGCATGTAGCCCTGGGTCGTGTGCCCGTGGGAAAAACAGACCCTTTTGGTAGAAAACCTCCATCTGTTAGGAAAAATCTTAAAACGAGCCTCTCCACCCAGGCAAAATAACTCCAATTAGACCAGAGTACACCAAATCAAAGATGCCCGCGTTTAATGAATGCAACGCTACTGGGTTGTTGGGAACATGGTGGGAGAGGGTGAATGGGGGTGGGGAGACAGGGAGAGATTATGCAAAACCTGTGACCATATGTTAACTAGCCTGTGAGAGTGGTCCTGACCCTTCCTGGAGAGGGTCAGCACTTGGCAGGCTTCCCATAGGTGGAGTCTGAACCAAGGCAACTCCCAGGGGGAAGGGGCTTAGGATGGATGCCAGGGACTGGGGTGATGCCTCCAATCATCCCAGACTCCTTGGATATAGGGGTGTTAGAGGGCTGGGGTCTCACTTTTGACCAAATATCTGACAACAACCATCTGTAATTTGTTCATCAATGAGGAAGTTTAAAAGCAAAGGGAATGCCTGTTCCTGATTACTGCTTAACTGGGTACTGATTAACATTTAAATATCAGGTATGGGTGAGAGGCCATCAGCAACTGTCATGTATCTCAGAAACACATAGGTTTAAAAAAAATGCCTAAAACCAAGATTGTTGGCAATGTTGACGTTTATTCTTCAAGCGTATTCCTCATTTTATGTTTTCTTTTGCGAACTCCTCTTGTTGGATGGGTAGGGAAAGAAAAATAGAAAAAAATTATTAAAAGGGATTTTCCTCTTTATTTTCTTTCTTTCTTTCTTTCTTTGGTTTTCTTAAAATTAAGTTCAGTTTCTTCTACAAGATAGCTTTACTAAGTCACTGAAGGCTGATAAACATGCCTTAGAATGTAAAAGCCCTAACCACTTATCCTCATAGTGGAGGTGTGTATGTGTTAGAGCACCTGAAGACTTTACAATAATCTATATATTCTCTGTATATAAAGTTTATATTTTAGTAATAGATTTAAAATATTGATGTAGTCCACAGAGTGTTGTAGGAATGAGGAGTAAGTAAGAATTTCCTTCAGTTTAACTTTATACAACTAGGAAGTTTCATCTTTTCAGATAATCTTTTGAATTCTTGAGTTCTCAATTAGAGCTGACAAGACAAAAATGCCACTCTGCTTTTAAAAGTTCGCTTTGAGTTTCTCCAGGAGGTTGTTATTCTGAAGAGCAAACTGATCCTTTAAATCTTGGAAGCTGGAACATTCACAAACTCTAAACTTAGTTTTCCACCTTATTTTATAGCTATTTCTAGAAGATTAAAGCTACAATTTGCACAGTTTTTATGTATAAAAGCATATATTCAAACTGTTGCATTCTGAAAAATGTCTATTTACGTTAAAATAAAAACTGGGCAAAATCAAGATTTATATAATGCCACATCCAATATTCCAAAATTAGCTTTAATATAATTTTAGTAATTTTTAAGAAGCGATGAATCTATGATACCATTATTACTGTAACCTAGCATGCAAACCATGTACATTATCTAAAAAAGACAATTACTTGATATTTTAATTGCTGCATTAATTATAATTCTCTTACTACTACTTAGGTTTTCGCAATTTTAATACAGCATAGGTTTCGTAAGTGACTATGCCAACTTTCACCACTGTTCCTCTCAACTAGAAACCACCGTGACTTACTTTCCTTCGATGGAAGTGTATTTTTTCCTGTGGTAATAATTTTATTCAGTTTTGATCTGTCAAATTTTTCAATTTCTGTCATGTCAAGTTTGTCGTCCATATTGACTGAAAGAACAACAACACAAAACGTTACCCACTAGAACTGTGATAGATTAGGAATAACAATTAAAAATTCATAAAAATTCAAAATATCAATGAATATTTTGCATGGTGGTTTTCAACAAGGTAACAACTCATCTAAGAAAGTCACGTTTTCTTAGGGTGCTCTGATTGCAAAGCATTAGTCCATTTCTGGTGGCAGCAAATGACAGCAGAAGAAGATGCTCCAGAAACTAAGATACTCTAGAAACTCGGGGGAAAAGAAAAGCCTGACTTTTAAAATCCCAGCAAAGGTAAAAGGAGACTTTGAGCATCTTTGCCTTCCAATCAGCTACTTTTAGGGGATTTGGGAATGGTGGTGAGCATCACACACTAAAAGAGAGGCACACAGCACTGTACTAATTTCTACTGAATGTTCAAAGTCAGTATATTAAAACACTGCAATAAGACAGAGAAGGGTTTAACCTAGTCATTGCCAATTACAAGTCTCATAATAACCTTCTTGTAACCTTAGAGAATGTGTAAAAGAAAAAGAAAAAAAAGCTGCTATTTATGATCAAGACTCAAAACCTTTAGTAGAACGAGGCACGCCAAATACAGCCGAGTCCTATTTCCAGAGATAAGAAGGCAGAGCTCTTCAACCAGTGACTGGTTCTATCTTAGCGGGGATAGGACACAATCTAGTGACCAGGGTAGACTAGAGAGCCCTCCACCCCACCCCACCCCACAGTTCCGAAGCTTCCATCTCTCAAACCCTTTCAGTCAAGGGTATCCTAAGAACTTCCTTTACCTGGTGAATATCACCAATCTCAAAGTTGGGGAAATTGGGATTCACACATTTATAGCTGCAGGACGGGGCAGGGTCATTTGTCTGAACTGTGCCATTTACAAATAACTTGTCACTGTCCAGCAGCCAGCCTAAGGGACAAAGAGATGAGCGCCAAACCTAAAAGATTGCCCCCTACTCCCCTGTGCATCCCTCAACTCTACTTCTGGCCTTTGCGCTTACCTCAAAGTTGCCTGTCCCCTTGGACCTTCTAAGGTGGGATCCCCCCAGGATCCTGCTCCAGACAGCAACACAGGAAACAAAATCACTGTGAAGTGGGCTTCGAAATGGGATTCCCGCAGTCACAAAATACTACCGCCGGAATGTCAGTAGGCCCCATCGTGCCTGGTCCTCCTGGGTCCCAAGTTCTCACTTTTTTGGTACAAGATGCCTGTTAGATCAACAGCTGAGTGCCCTACTAGAGTGTGGATCACACTGGTGTGGCCTAGTACAGCCCCTGAGTTTATAAGCGCCACAGAACGCCCCGGCTCTTGCCCCGCCCACCCCCTTGTGACTTCAGATCTCTGTGTTATGTAAGGCCTCTCCGATTGGTCAATAACCCTGGCTTGCTGTGCTCCCTCCCCAACTTTTAATTTTGTGGGTGTCAGAGTTTGTTCAATTTTAGGACCTCTGTGCTTAAAAATGTAGGTATTTAGACTGTATCTGATAGTAAGTGCAAAGTCTTTATGATAGTACCCACCTCCTTGTATAACAGTTGGAAATCATTACCATCTAAAAAGACAAATATTTTAGCCAGACAGAGTGCTACAGTCCTTTACTCCCAGCACACAGAGGCAGAGGCAGGTGAATCTCTGTTAGAGGTCAGCCTGGTCTACATAGGGAGTTCCAGGACAGCCAGATCTACATAGTGAGATCCTGTCTCAGAAAAAAAAAGACAAATATTTTTTACTGTATGGGAATTGAGATGAGAGAGGAGTCATTGGACTAGTAATATTTTCTCACGACATTTATTCAATCAAATTTGCCATTAACAAATTTATTTTTTTACTAGCTTAATTCAGGGAGGACTGCCCCAGGGGTGATCAAAACTTTCTAATAATACCGTTTTATTAAACATGTATCATACTTGACTCTACTAAATCTTGTTTTACAAAAACCAACTCAAAGGAATTCCTTTCTTATTTCTTAACTAGGCTATCTTCCAGAAAATTATGTTTGAAATTTTATTCCAGGGCATAGCATGACTAGTCACTTGACTGCAGACAAAGAAATCCTGTCTTGAAAAACCAAAATAAATAAATAAATATAAGTTTTAGCAAAAAAAGAGAAAGAACTAGGAAGGACTTGTGCTTAATTGGACACTGGTCTAAGTTAAAATAAACCAGAGGCTCCATGGGTCACTATATTCAGTTATATTATTTCTTAATATATAAGAAACATTATTGAGTATATTTTATTGATTTTTCTAAGCATAGATTTGTGTTACAGTTTTCCTCTAACTTTCAGGCTTCACAAACCTTGTTATAATAGCAACTTAAGAAACATAGGGTTTGGGGCTGAAGAATTGGCTTAGTGTTTAAAAGCTCATGCTTCTGTTGTAGAGGACCCAAATTTGATTCTCAACAACCAAATCTCATAGCTTACAACCACTTGTAACTCTAGCTGCAAGGATCTGATACCAATTTCTGGACTTTTGTAGGACTTACACTCATACACACTCACATACACTGAGAGAGAGAGAGAGAGAGAGAATTACAAATAGAACTAAACCTTAAAAAATGAAATAACATGTTTTAATATTGAGTTGAGGAGATGGTTCCTTGGCTAAAGGACTTGTGGCCTAAGAATGAGGACCTGAATTTTAATACCCAGCACCCAATTAAGAATCAGATCTGGTACATGTCGATAACCACAGTGTTGCAGGGGTCAGAGGCAGGTGAATTCCAATGTATCACTGGTCAGAAAATTTAATAAACAGTTCTCATCAACAATAGAAATTAGTTTCAGCAGACCAAAGCAGTATAAATAAAATGAGGCAAGTCTGTGGTAACATTCTTGAGTTGTGGCATGAGGACACACAGAGTGAGGCCAGAGGATTGTAATTTTGAGACTGGTCTGAACTTCATGATGCTATCTTAAAAACAAAAACAAACAAATAAAACCCAGCCAGGCATAGTGGTCCATATTAATTCCAGGACTTAGGAAATAGGTAAGTGGATTTGGGGAAATTAGAGGCCAACTTCTACATGATGAGTTTCAGTACCGCCAAAGTGACACAGTGAAATACTGACTCAAAACTTTTTTTAAGTTGAGTGGTGGTGGCCGCACACGCCTTTAATCCCAGAACTTGGGAGGCAGAAGTCGGCGTATCTCTGTGAGTTCGAGGCCAGCCTGGTCCACAGAGCAAGTTTCAGGACAGGCTCCAAAGCTACACAGAGAATCCCCCCCCCCAAAAAAAAGTTTAAAGTAAAGCAAAATATCATCCAGGCCTTTATGTCTGTACATGAGTGTGTGTGTGTGTTCTGTGCATACACGTGTGTGTGTTCTGTACATACACGTGTGTGTCTGTGTTCTGTGTGTACACGTGTGTGTGTTCTGTGCATACACATGTGTGTCTGTGTTCTGTGCATACACATGTGTGTTATGTGCATAAAGATGTGTGTGTGTTCTATGCATACACGTGTGCATACATGTGGTGCACCCTTTATGCACAGAGACCAGAAGAGGAGACTAGGTGCCCTGTTCTATTACTCTGCACCTGATTCCGCTGAGACAGCATCTTTCACTGAACCTGGAGCTAGGCTGGCCATCTGCACGCCCCAGTGATGTTGGAATCTCCACTCTCTTCAGATTCAACAGTCCAGGGATTACAGGGACCTGCATGGCCACAATCAACTTTTCACAAGGATTCTAGAATCTAAACTCAAACTTTTGTGTTTGAATAGCAAGGACACTTAACCAACGAGTAATCTCTCCAGCTCCCAGTTAAGAAATTTGTTTTATTATTTTTTAAAGAAATTTATTATAATAAATTTCCAGAAGCGTTTCTGCAAGTTAAGAGACCTTTGTGAATCATGTAAAATTGCATTGGAATATTTCTCAAATATATTTTATGCTGCAAAATTAATACAAGGTAAACCTTTAATTGTTATGGAGCATATAAAAATATGAAGAAAAATATTAATGGTTATTACCTTAACAACAACAGTTTTCTCCTGCTCCTCCGCACCCCATCTTTACTACTGTGCAAATGTGTGTGAGGGGGGATGAAAATCACATGGAGAGAGAAAGATTTGAAGGGTAGTCTCAGCAAGCTCCAGGTTATGAGACATTGTCTCAAAAAAACAGGCTAGAGAGTGACTGTTAAAACCAGCGGGAGCAAGCCTGTGGTGGTGGCACATGCCTTCAATCCCAGCACTCAGATGGCAGATCTCTGAGTCCCATGCCAGCCTGGTCTATAGAATGAGTTCCAGGATAGCCAGGGCTATACCGAGAAACCCTGTCCCAGAAAACCAAAATCAACAAACAAACAAGCAGGCCCCTGGGTGTAACTACATCTGCAGGGGTTGCAGAAGGCTCACAACCCTCTGAAGGTTCCATTGTCAGTAAACACGGGGTGGGGGGGGTGTAAGAACAGAAGGTTCCGTTTTCTACACCCCCACCCTGTGCTTTGATCTTGGAGAAGACATTTCCCCACTGAGTTCTATTTTTTTCGCATGTCTCCTAGGAAGTGATGGAGTCTGCCATTGCTCCTTGCCATTGCTCCTTGCCAACTTCAAGAATCTCTAAGATGCCAAATCCTGACACAGTTTCCCTCATGGAAACACTGTGACAACAGTGGTGAAGACTCACTGCCCACAGAAGCCAGGCATGGGTGAGTTGATCAAGCTTGAAGCTGAGAGTATTCTCCTTCCCCCTTCCTACTCCCATAATGCCTTGGGAAACGGGAACCCATATGGCAAGGGCCTAGACCTGTTGTTTTCAACTCATAGAGACCTAGTGAAGCTGAAAACATTATCGTGGGAAAACTTTCCTCCTGTATCTAGCTAGGATCACAGTCACAACCAGGGTCATTGTTGACCTGAGCTATTTATTCCTCAGGCTTAAAGCAAACGTTTGAGACATTTTGTTTTCTCAGGTCTACCGTTAAAAGCCTACAACCGCCAACTGCAGTGTGAAGGGTGGGGTTGAGGGTGTGCTGAGGTGCTGGGAGGTGGCTAGTGGTCAACTGAAAACTGACATTCACAGTGCAGGCAGTAGAGAGATGCAGAGCCCACAGTTGCCTTTTGAGTGTTCGCAGGCACCATGCAATCTTGCACATGTTGTCTTGCTCTCTTGAGGATATCTGTTTCAAAGAGTATTCCTGTTTGAATTTCAAAGCTTTACTGCAGCAGGCTCCTGTTTCTCTTATTTTATTGTATTGTCATTGTTCAGCCACATCTTAGGGCCCCATCCTTCACTATTTGCTTCTTGTATATAAGAATCCCATGCCTCATGTGAAGTGGTCCGATGAAAGGCACATTTCTTTTTCATGGGAGGGGGCGTAAGTTCTACGTCAGTATTTACAGGTTTGTTGTGCCTGAAATGAAAACATAAAAGAAGCAATAGCTGTGACATCGTGGAAGAAGCCTGAAAACCACCAAAAGCCAAGGTGGTTCCAACTAACTTGTATCAATTTCGATAGGTGTACCTAGTGTGTGGAAATGCATGCTCATTGCTGTGAAGTTCTTCACCCAATCCCTGACCTGCCAATATGGATTATTTCGCTATGTATGCTTAGACTGCAGAGAGTTATTCTGGTTCCACATTATAAATAAGAGTGTGTGGAAGTGTTGGTACAAAATATAAAAGGACTGAGCTAGTAATTCTTAGGGCAGAAGAGGAAATATTCTAGTTGAAAGTCTCACTTTACTCATAAGAAATTTAAGACCAGAAGGTGAAAACCCTTGGTGGAGGAGAAAAGCCTACAAAGATTGGACATCGCTGTAAGGCGCTGGATTTCACTGCTCTTCCCTCTCTGTCTTTATCACTGACAGAGCTTGCTTGTTGTTCTTCCATTCCCCATCTCCCATCCTCACTCCTCCTTCTCCTCCCTCTCCTTCCGGTCCTCTTCTCCTCCACCCATTTCCCTCTCTCCATGCCCTTTCCTCCTTTCCCCTTCCCCTTCACCTCCACCCCTCCCTGTCCTTTCCCTCCAACACTTTCATTCACCCCATGTCCTCCCCTCCTTCCCCCACCTCCCCTTCACCCCGCTCTCTCCTTCCTCCCTCCTCCTCTTCTGCATTTACTTCACTCTGCCCTCTCCCCCTCACTTCTTTCTTCCTTCCTTCCTTCCTCCCTTCCTTCCTCCCTCCCTCCCTCCCTTCCTTCTTTCCTCCCTTCCTTTCTTCCTTCCTTCCTTCATTCTTTCCTTTCTTCCTTCCTTTCTTCTCTATCCTTTCCTTTTTTTTTTCTTTTTCGCTGTGGGAGAATACTCTTGGACCCTGTAAAG